TACTTTGTTAGAACTGCTCGGGAGATCCTCATTGTTATGAGAGAAATGTTTCTTCCCCTGAAACTATTAAAAAGAGGTGATATTTTCTTTTTATTGAGCAAGATACATGTCAACCCGAAAAGTATAATTCTGTTTCCATTTTGTTTCCATCTGCCACCTTCAGAATACATAATTAATACAATGATTTTTTTTAGTGTTAATCCATGGCAGTTTGATTATTCTTACTGTGAAATAGTACATTTAAATTATATTACAGGATGTGATAAGACCTTGTCTTGGAGATTTTATCTTCCACCTAAAAATAACAGCGCCATGCTCATGAAATGCAATGACATGGAGTTAGCTGATGTAAAGTGAGTTACTGCCTTAAAGCACATCCGGCTGTATTAATAAATTAAATGAATTTCATCATTTAGAGAGATTGAGTATATTTTCTCATATTGTTATGATTTTATTACCGGCACCAGCATAATGGAGGAAAGTCATAGGGGCAATCTCATAGAATAAGCCGGTGATGAATCATGGGCAAGAACTCCAACCTACCATTTTCCTAGTTTCTTATGACCACAGCCATTGTTTTATCATGTTGCCACATTCCTTTAGGTGTAGGATGGGCCTGTAATAGCTGTTCTTAATCTGCCATCTTGATTTTTTGACTACATCTCACAGCATTTCATCATCGTCCTGGGGATGATGAGCCTTAAAAAATCTGGAACTAACCATCCATGAATGCACCATCAATGAATATCCTTGCTGTTTGTTTGTTCAAAACCCATTTTCTATGTTGCAGAATTTTGTATTTTGGTTGAATCCCTTTAGATGCATAGCAGAAGTGCAGGGATTCACAGAGCAGAATAGCTTCAAGTTCCCCAGAGTAGACCACTCCATTCTCATTAACTGGCCCTGACAGTCTCAATACAGTGGTCCCTCGCTTTATGATTGCCCCACATTACGACGATCTTTTTGCGATCGCAATTGCAATCGCAAAACGATGGTCTGAATGGGGTTTTTTCGCTTTGCGATGATCAGTTCCCTGCTTCAGGAACCGATTCTTCGCAAAACAACGATTTTCCTACAGCAGATCAGCGGTTTCAAAATGGCCACCGGGTAAATAAAATGGCGCCCCGCTGTTTTCTGGGATGGATTCCTCGCAAGACAGCCCCCGAAAATGGCCACCCTATGGAGGATCTTCGCTGGACGGTGAGTTTCCAGCCCATTGGAACGCATTGAATGGGTTTCAATGCATTTCAATGGGCTTTTTATTTTCGCATTACGACGTTTTCGTTCTACAGCGATTTCGCTGGAACAAATTAACGTTGTAATGCGAGGCACCACTGTAACTCATTCTAAATTCTTAGTAGTAGAAAGAATAAAAACCATTTTCTTTACTTCCAGTTGTGAACAGATCAAAGAGAAACTGACAAACATGGCTACCTTCAATGGATTTTAACACTCTAGAGAAGGGGGAAAGAGCTGAGCAGAGAAGTGGGACTCTCTCTGATTTCAGAGGCAGAAAAGAACTATTGGTTAGTGCTGGATAGACTGAGAGTCACCCCGGCCCCGAAACGTCCCCACCTCTCAGCCACACCTAGTAGAGGCAGCATGCAAGGCTATAAAAGCTCCAGCATTCTCAAGCTATGAATAATCTTTCTTTTGAACTTGAGCCTTTCTCCCTGTCTTGATGACGGTGCTGCATTTCTGTGATGCTTGGGTTAAATCTGTTCTTTAAACATAGTCAGATAACAAATTTGAGCATAGCCAATGCACACTCAAG